CTGTACAAAGCAATGACAGGCTGGTCTGAGGAACGACTCCGTAGAGTTCTAAGCAATTTTTCTTTTTGGTGGGCTCCCCACCAAAAAGTACTTGGGTATCCAGCTCCCTAAGGACCCATCATTGACCTTCTGCATGAATTCCCCTCCTCTTCTTTCAACCATTGCTAAAGATTTACAAACATGGTCACATTTTGAAACAAAATATTCTGCCCAGACTGCCATACCCATATGCAGGCTTTCCCCATCCATATCTCTACTTCATTGTTCCGTTAAATCCAATTTATCCTCACCAAATTGGTGTCTGGTCTAATAAACCTGCTAGACTACAACATAGAATTCTATGAAGACCCAAATGTGCTGGCAGTATGGCACTCCCTGACATTTGCCTTTACTACTTGGCAATCCACCTCACTCACATTCTTGATTGGTGTAGGCATTTTTCTATCCCAGCAATACATTATAGAGTACCATGTGTGGGAAAGTGCAGGCTTACATGAGCAGTCTTCCAGCAACTTGCTTCTGAGATCGGGACTGTCTATCAGCGGCTGGCATCCACCCACACCTGCTCCTCCTTACTTTTTCTTCCCGCGTCCCTGTGCCAATCGTGGATGTGGGCGAGCGAGCGAGGAGGAGGTGCGGCTTGTGGAGCGTGGATGCGGCCGTGCGGGTCTGGCAGCGGCGAGCGTGAGGTGGGGAGGAGGTGTGGCGCGCAGCGTGTGTGGAGCCATGAACAGGGCCAACCAATCGGAAGCCGATTAATCGATGAATTAAAAAGTTGACAACTTTTTCAATAATCGATTATAATCGATTATGTCGATTAGTTGTTGCAGCTCTACATTCTGATACTAAATTATGAAATGGAGCAGTCGTTCTCAGATGCCCCACTCTTCGGACTTCCTTGGTGCCTCCTCCAGGTACTGTCCACTATTCGAAACCACCCCACTATTATACCCACTGTGAACATAGCTAAGGCAGTTTTCTTTCAAGGATCTATTTCGCTATCCCCTTCACCCTTACTTTTGATCTTAAGCAAAACATCCTCCCCCTGAGTCTCAGGGACCCTTTGTTCGCCTTCATCAATTGCATCAATACCGGGCCTTTCAGTTCCTCCAGGGCTCTCAGTGGCCCACCCACTCAGACCTCCTCAAGCTCCAATTCCGCCTCCCACATCCTGACTCCTTGGCAGAGGATGCAGTTAGCCCACTTCATACGTTACATCCCTCCTGCTGGTGAATTTGCTTGGCAGCTCTCCCTCTTCGAATGGGAATACTCCTTACCTGGCAAAACAGAAACATGATTTGCATATTACTTTTTCTCCGCATGCCCGTTCTAAACTCCTCACTCTCGTTTAAATCTTCCATAAGTAAAATTATTACTAGGTGGTATAGCACTCCAGCAGCCTTACACTCCATGTTGCCTCAATCCTCTAGACTATGTTGGAGGTGTGCTTGTTCCCATGCTGATATGCTTCATAATTTCTGGTCCTGCCCCAGGCTTCAGACCTTTTGGAATTAGGTTCAGAAGCTCGCTGACTTTCCGGGCCCCAAAGACTGGGCCTTTTTTCTCAGGAAACATAACTCCATTCCCTTCAAGACTTACAAATGTTCAGTTATTTATACACAGGGACTGCCGCTATTCCTCTGTTTTCTGCTACCCTTTATTTCCTAAGGGCATGCACTATTTTTTCTGATCGCACTGCACCGGAAGAACGGAATTCCTGTACCTCGCATTATGGTGCGGGGAGGGGGCGTACCTGCGGTGCCATTGACATGAATGGTGCCACCACGCCCCTCCCTTCCCAGAATGTGACTTGGCCTGATCTATGCAATCCAGTGTGTTACGGGCTAGGAACGCACCGGAACGCACTGGATATGGTGTGACTGGGCCCTTCTGGTAACCAGTTGATTTCCTCCCTGCTTATGCTCACATCCCTCTCTAATTCCTAATTTTCCCACTTGGTTTATTTTACAACTTAATTTTTAGCACTCTTTCAGGTCCTTTCATGTTTTCCACACATTCCATTCCCTCTACAATCCCTTATCATATAATTTCTTAATTTCCCATGTTCCCAGCAGAGTAATGACTCCACAGGATCCCTTTAAATCCATCAGTCCAGTACACACATTGTTCAACAGTACCCAGGTAATTATTTACTATACAGTTCACTGCACAAAAGTCTCCTTTATATGATTTACAGTACATATTACTTATATAATCTGTAATATTTTTGTTTTTAATTGTTTAGCTAAATTATATATCATCTTCCCATAATTCATATGTGTAATTGACTTCCTAATAATGTATGATATAGCTCATCATACGTATGCTCGTCATTCTATACCACTTCACATCAATCAATACTATATACAGATCATAATTTTGTATGTGTAAGGGGCATTCGTTGAACCCCCCAAGTGCGTTGGAATTTTATGATATAAGAATCTGAATAAAAATACGTCTGGATGTTTTGCTTTTGCCACTTTCCTCCTTGCACACTTATTCTGTACTCGAGCAATGGGCTACCCTTTGGTCACCAATCCTGGAAGAGCTGCTTAAGGTTAGCCATACACATGTAGAATTCTCTTGCTCAGCTTCATGGGCTAAATGACAGAAATCACTTGATTCCCCCATCCACGCTAAACAGTGTGGATGAGGAAATCTCCCATGCTATCCGTCTGAATACTTAAACAGTATCTGCACCTGAGTGTATGAAGTCACTGTTCGGCTGTCAGTTTTCCACCAGGATCTTTCAACTTTTCAGTCGAAGTTTGTCAAGCTGGGTGGCGCCAGAGGGGCCACCAACGTTTTAATCCTTTGCAGAGTCAGCAGGAATTGGCCAAATGTATGGCTAGGCTAAGGAGACTCATTCCCCCCTATTGCTTTAAGAGATCCAGCACTCCACACCTTTCTTCTGCTTCCAGCAATAAAAACCTGACAGGGGTTATAACCCTTTCCCGCTCCTCCTAAAACAAAAGTTATGATGCTAATGATGTCTTCTAAAAATGTTAGGGAACTGTTAGACATGTGCAGCCGCAAAAAATGTGTTTAGTTTCGGATTTCGTTTATTTCGTATTTCCGAAATCGGGTCCTGTATGTGTTTCGTTTTGGATTTCGGATTAGATTCCTAATTCGGATCGGATTCGTAATTCGGACGAATTTCCGAAATTTGGGGTTTTGCACGAACGGACGAATGTTTGGACGCACGTACGTAGCAGAAATGGCACAGTTGACATTTCTGGTTGCTGTGCTCTAGCCTTCACTATTAAAGGGACATTAAAATTTTATAAATGTTTTTTTATCCGTTTAAACGTTGACGGTGCATGCACAGAAACATGAAGTAATGTTATGTTTTTATCTTCACATGCTATGAAATCCTCTTTTTGTAGTCATTATCGTAAATTTCTAATTTAATTTCCATTAGGATGAAATTCGTACTGAATCCAAAATTTCAGATCCGGAATTTCAGATTCAGATGAATTTGGACAGGGTACATTTCAGAAATTCGGATGCTCCAAATCCACGAATTTCCGAAATTTCGTCCGAATTTCGATTCGGAACAAAACGAATCGCACATGTCTAGTAACTGTCTCTGAACTTCTGTATGGTCTCATCACTGACCTTCAACAAACTTGCAGCAAAGGAAATCAGAGGGAATGTATTATTTATTTATCATTATTTGCATTATTTTCAGTGAAAGTAAATGTTAAAGCCCCTGGATCAGCTAGATAAGTGGGTAACTACCATAACTGGAAAGAGAGATGTCAGCAAAGGCAGCCTACATACTTTTGTATCTATATGTAATAAAAGTGGGAGGTTGTTTATAAATAAAGTTTTTTTAACTTGATTATGTCTTATTGTTTCTTTATAAGCTTCTAAATGGTGCCATTTGTAAAGGAAGGACAATAGTAAACCTGCGCTCATCCACCCTTACATTTCTGGAGGTAGAGACATTTGGGAGTGGGGAGACCCCCTTATTCTGGTAGCTCTAGCTTTGTATCTGCTGCACCCTCACTGATGTTTATCATCCACAAGACCACTGCATTCATCTTTTTATAATCCAGGGCATTTTCTGAGGTCAGGTCAATGTATGCCTTTTTTGAGTCTCCCAAAAACAACAACATGACAAATGCTGCCCACCATACTTTAGACCAGGACTGCCCTCCTGCAGTCCTCTCAAAGGTAGGGCCTTCACATTATTTTGGGCTGTCATCCTTTGTAGGAGGTAGCTTACTGTGCCTGAACTGCAGAAACATCTGATGTCCAGGTTGCCAACTGTTGCATCACTTCTGTCAAGGTCTGTTGGTCTCTCTCTGCGACCTGGGCTAAAGTAGTCATCTGAGCCTCAGTTTTCTCCAGCTGGCCATACACCTTACAACCATCGCACGACTTTTGTCTTGCGATGGTTGTAAGGTAATTTTAAAAAAACGTACGATCTGCTCATCTTGGACAGGCAGATCGTACTTGCGATCACCGCTAGCCCACCCCGCTGGGGGGCGGGCTTCCGATGACTGCAATGCTGAACGGGCAGTGTGCGCTTTTGTTTTACGAACAGGCCACAAACCCGCCGACAATCGTACGATTCTATTTTCCAGGTTATCTTTTTTTGTTCACTGAGATTGTTTACCAGCAGAACCAAAAAAACATACTGGAATCTAAAGTGGAAATAATTGTTCCACCCTTAGTTTGCCATTTATTTTTGGCACATGAGAGATGAAGGGAAGTGACAAGTCTGCTACTGCCAGCCTCCGATTTACTCTGCTACTGTTGAAGATGTTGACATGACAGAGATAGCAGAGACCTTGTTTGGGAGGGTTATTACATAGGCCCTGAATGTCTGTGAACCAATAATTCTACTGGTTTTTATATATTTAAAGTATTTGCTAATCAAAAAGACTAAAACATTTTAGATTCATTTAAACTTAAAAAGAAACATGGAAGACAAAGTGTATAATATGATGCTAAAATAACGTAAAATAATCTGTGTATTAATCTTCACATAGGTAATGGACGGCAGGTTCCACACAAACCCCCAAGAGGAACGTCCAGAAGTCCACCTCATTTAGTGATACCCCCACCCCCTCCCTACCCTCCACCTGATAATGATATTACGGATCCACCCATCTATGAAAATGGAGCTGCTATAACAGGAACAACCAAACCTATACCTGCTAAACGTAGGTCCAGGCTATAATATATTTTTATATATGCTCCTGTCTGCTCCACTTTTATTACTATATCACTCACCTTTCCTCTAGTCTATGGCTATATTTCTTTTCCTCCTGTCTTTTTGTTATGGTGGATTTCAGAGATCTCTTATATGGTGCTCATTAGTGTTAAGTTTTGGCAAACTTCATTCATATCAAAAGAACAACCAAGAGAAAATCAGTCCATAGACTGGAAAGGTAAATGTCTCTGGCACAATGTAGCTGTGCAAAAATAATTCCAGGGAAATGATTCTCTGACAGCAAATATGAGCAAGTTATTAAAAGATTTGCTCATCCACTGAAGGAAGTACTCATTTATTAACAGAAATAATCAAGGGAAGTACTATGTATTTTATACACTTTTATGTTTCTTTTCTTTCCAAAAGTTAGCCCTCCTTTCCCTGTCTGCATAATTTTCTAGTCTCTTCTTTGCTATCGAAGATATGGCAGACCCACAACCAAATCAAGGTAAAGGGGGCCTATTTGAAAAAAAAGTTGCAAAGTAATTCAGATTGGTAAATTCATGGTTTACTGGTTTTCAAAGTTGAAAAATGGGACTTTTGAAAGTGGCAAAAATTTAAATAAAACCATGCAAATGATAAAAGTGCTTTAGCTTCTGGTCAGCAGGGCATGAATCCTACATCCACTTAGCCTGTTATTTATAATGCATACAAGAAAGATAAAGAAAAGCGGGGCTTTAAAAGTGTCCAGACCATACTAAATGTCCATCAAACATACATGGTTTTGTATAAAAATATATTTTAATACATAAAGATAATTTGAAGACTTGGTTACATTTAAAATGTCATTGACATGATAGAATGTTACATTAAAATCAAGCGACCTCCTTTTGGTGCCCATACATGTGTACATATATTTATATATCATAGACTCCTTGCAAGTCCTAAATCCTGTAATAATTGTAGGATCCACTGTGGGCCCAATCTCCGACGCGTTTCGCAACTGTATGTGTTTCCTCAGGGAGGTTGGAGGTATTCTAAGACATTGCATCAAAATAAGTTTAAGTATAATGATCACAAATACCAAATTCTTAATGAAAATAACAAATAATAACAATACAAAACCCACTTCATGTTCACAAAGGTGGCTGGATCCTTCCGGTTCACCTGCTTGGTGATTGCGAGACAGCATGTGGGACCAAGGATCCAAGGACCAAGGATGTTTGATGGACATTTCGTATGGTCTGGACACTTTTAAAGCCCCACTTTTCTTTATCTTTCTTGTATACATTTCTAATTGGGGGTGTGGTGCCTATCCCTAATGGTTCAATTCAATTTTTATGCGTTAAATTTATAATGCAGCCAACCAGAGCTTGTGATAATCACATCAACTTTTTGTGTTGCAAGTATTTGTTAAAGCTCAGGGTGGTTGTCAAGTTGAAAAATTACCCAAGGAGAAAATCTTTTTTATCTTTACTAGGTGAAAAAGAAAAATCAGGTCCATTCAGTGTGCAACCGAGATGAAGACAGGCTTATTGTGAAGACAGTGTCACATGTCAAAAGCATACCAACGATTCAGAGGCCCTCCAGGGTCCCTTCCTCAAGGTGGCATAGTGATGTCACTGTCATCTTTAGGAAGGGACCCTGCAAGGCCCCAAAACGTTGGCATGCTTTTGAAATGTGTGACACTGTCTTCACAATAAGGCTACCTATCTTCATCTTGGTTACACACTGAATGGAACTTAACGGTTTCACAATAAACCTGTGATACACATTTATTTGGAGTGCTGGTGATTTAGTATTCTCCCATCAGGTCACCACTAAGCTTTCATATACATATACTTGCCCAATATGACTGCATGCCTTAATAACATCCACCAAGATTTTTCCGCTATTGAAGGTAAACCCCACATTTTGTAAATTGTTCTTTGTAGACTCCATAAATATCAGCATATCTAGAGAGCCTTCCTATGACCTTTTCTGCAGAGACAAAACATGGCTTTTGTTTTCCTGTGCAGATACAGCCAGATTTTGATGCGTCTTTATGGATTGTACACACCAGGTGTATTTTAATGTTGATTAGAAGACGGTATAGAGAGCTGTATCTGGCTTATTTTTGTTAATTTCCCACTGCTTTTTATGTCCATAAAGTTTCAGCCAAATTTGCAAATCATGTATGGCTTTAATGAAAGGTGTCAGTGCTGGAGTCATGATATACTGTAGGTAAGCTTACACACTGCTATGTATTTGATTTAGACTTGTTCTAAAATCTCTGGCTATGTTCAGTGAATACACTTGGAGTTTGCAAGAACAAAATGTACTGTTCCGGTGGCCACAATCCCAGAGAAAGCACTAAAGAAAAAGTTCCACAATCCATTCTGAAAAGCTATAGGTCATAACCTCTCATGATGAGTTTGTGTGTATTGAGTAATCTGAATACTGTTCTCTGGACTTCTCCATGTTTTCCTCTCTGTGACTTATTAGCAATTTCTGACAGTTCTGTCCTTTCCTGCATGCTTGAATAAGGTTGATCCATTTGTTTCTGTTCCTGTTACTCATACCACTGTGTTTTTTGGAATGCTCTGACTTCAAAACTAAAGCCCAGCTAAGCAGCAGTGGTTTGCTGTGAAATTTTTGTTGTGTGATTGGATTGCATTTGCTTGTTTTCCTGAGGGCAGAGTGGTAATGTTGGCCTGATCTGACCCTTGTACTTACACTTACCCATTCTGCATTCTGTTTCTCGTTTCTGTTCCTTACAGTTTACTGCTGTGCATCATTCCCTTCAAATACCAAGAGCTGCTGAGCAGACACTTCCTATGTGGCTTTCTTACATTTCATGTTTCATCTGATCTTCACTCTCTCTGTCTTTTTCTTTCACAATGGTGGACTACAAATATGAAATAAATGTGTTATCTCTTTCAACTGTTTTACCCTCTCACTATCTTATCATACATTTCCTTATGCTGTATATTATATAATTCACGGTAATTGAAAGTATTTCCTCACTTATTATTGGAAAAGAACATGTAAAATATAAATATGTACCAGTTTCTCCTCTAAGCTTTCTAAATCTCAGTTTTCTATCATGTTTTTATAAAATGCTTCCTTTTAGATTGCAAAACAGCTAAATGACTAAAGTTGGCCATACACAAACTCATCATCAAGAACCGCCTGAAATTCGCTCCATGGATAGCCTTAGCAGCCTCTGTCCCGACATTCTTCCATATGAGAATTAAAGGAGCAAGGCAGAAAATTGCCAGCTGTACAGTGACTGCAACCAATAATCTGCACTCTGCACTGGGTATTCTAACAGCGGCACACTCACTGCTGTCAGAATACAATAGTATGCTATCCCCATCCATGCTGTTTAGTGTGGATGGGAGAACCTGCTAGATTTTTTTCATTCACCCCGCAGGCTGAAATAAAAATAATCTACTAGTGTATGGCCAGCTTAAGTTACATGTGACTGCTAACTGTAGCACACCGGCCCCTGTCAGAATACAATAGCTGGCAGGGGGGATACGTCATCCACACTGTTTAGCATTTATGGAGGAAAATGTTCATTTTTGATTTGTTTGGCTCACGGGCTGTCATTAAAGAATCTACTAGTGTGTGGCCAGCTTAAGTTGTGTGTGGCTGCTAACTGCCTTGTTATTTACTTTAAACGTACATTTAATATATATAATGGCAAACTGATTTTATAAAATTTAACTAAATTAGCAGCTTAAAGTTAACCAGTCTCAAATCAAGCACATGATTTAAAAAATGCTTAATCAGAGGTTACCTTGTGGAAACCAATTGTCAAAACGATCAAAACCTATTATCCAGAAATATAACCTGTTATAGTTATAGAGGGTTCTGGATTTAGCTTGACCCTGTCCCGTTCCATCTACTGTGCCCCCCTATTGGTCTCCTTGATAAGCGGTTTTCACTAAGATAACTTCTGCATTTGCATGCTTCCTAATATACTGAATTTGATGTGCCAAGGCCTGTGACACGTTTCATCTAAAGTAATGAGAGTTTGTTTCACCATTGTCTGGCAAATGTTATTTCTGCTAAAATACAGTCATTAAAATTCAGAAAGCATCTGAACCTATTTTGAGCACTACTGTTGGTATGTCCTGATCACTTGCTATCTGGCGGACACATGGGGAATCTTCAAAATAACCTCTGGGTTAAATTGTGAAAAAAATTTGGTTGTTTGTCAATTTGTTTTCAATGAAATAAGTATTCTGTAAGCCGGCCTTTAGTAGATAGAGTTGAGTTGATTTGAGAGGGTGAGTTGGATTAAGAAGCTCTTGCATGTCATTTTCATAAGCAATAGATGTTTACAGCAGTGTTCTGTCATTCACACTCTCTGTAGGAGATTACCAGCAATGACAGTGTTGAAGATCCACCAACTCTCTTCATTCTTACACACTGCTGTATGCCACAGCAGCAGTGCAGAGTTATAACTGCTGTGATCTCACTGCAGAAGCAACAGCATTGTAACTCTAGTTCTAATTTAAATGATCTTATAGGCCATTTTAATGGTACCATCAGCAAAGATCCTTAAGGTTGTTTAGTTCCTAACGCATATTGTAGGTATGGATGCACCAAAAAACTGTACCAAAACATTTTGGACAAAAATGGTATATGGGCAAAATGCCGATAGTACCAAAAAAAGGCCGGAAATTTGATGCATCTCTAGCTTCTCTCCTACCCGGTGGGTGACAGCTGCAAGCTTCAGTCTGTGTCCCTATCAGGAAGCCAGGCGGCGAGTCCTGATTGACCAGAAAGCCGGCTCCATGCTTCCTCGTTAACTGGTGACAAGGAAGCATAGAGACGGCTTCCTTGCTGATCGGGAATCCGGGTGGCGAGTCTTTACACGCTACCCGGCTTCCCGGCTAAACAGGAGGCCAGGTGGCGAGTCCTTACATGTCACCTAACTTCCTTAATGGGACTTCTGGTATCGGTATTTGGTATCAGCGAGTACCGGGAAAAACAATATCGGTATTTGTACGCGATACC